CTGTGGGCTCCTGCGGCCCAAAGGCTCGCGGTCGGCCCCTGTTATCCGTCCTCGAGTTGAGTATCTGATATATCTTGCCGCAGGCCGCATCAACAATACTCCCTGCTGTCTTCTTTCCGCCTCTGCCGTCGGCCAGAGTGGGCATTTGAAGCCGAGCTTCAAAGTCAGCCAGTCGTTGTGAAGTAAAGGTCCAGTGGCGGCACCCATGTCTCCGTTTCAAGGTTCCGAGTGGGTAACACCGCTAAATACACATATTGCTGCTTCTCTTTTACCCAAATTCAAATTGTTCATACATGTTTTCTTTGACGACTATTAACCATTCGTACCTCAGTCAGGTACCGTTGTGTTGGTCAACCGGAAACCTGAACGCTGCGTTTCTGTTTCTTGAAGTCCGGTCGGTTACCAGAAGGTCTCCCCTGACCTTCTCACCTTGTGTACACTGACTGCGGTGGACGATGTTCTCGGCTTAGTGGCAATTAACCCTTCAAGCCAAACTCCGGACTCAACTCAGCTCATGAGTTGTAGGCCTTTTATAAAGAGAGCAGGAGAGACTTGCTTGTAGTTATGCCTCCACTTCGAAATCTCTACCGTCCCATCTCTCCCAAGGAAACAGCAAGAGCCCAACTTCAGGTTCGCCAAACACCTCAAAACCTCGGATTCGCCACACGGCCGCCTCGCTGCGTCCAGTACTGAGCGGCACAACTTTGGTAGTACAATTCCCTGTTGTGATTAATCAGACCACAACTCATCTGTCCCAGATCGCTTGTCGGGGAGAGTGTTCATGGCGTGGACACCACATCATTGTGCAGGACGGATAACCTAATCCTTGGGATCAATGTTGAGCACGACTGGGCTGGTGCCACGCTCGAGTCGTGTCTCGCCGCACCCTGTGGACGGTCACGCTTCAGACGGACGGCAGGCGTGAATCATCCGCCGCAGGACCGTCTATAGCAACTGCTAATGAGGGTCAATTCTCAATAGACCGATGCGAGAATGATCATTTCGACTACCGACCTTAAGGTACCCCTATTAACACGAGGTTCAACTGTCCAGTTCCGCGCTGAGGTTCCTGCCCCAATTGCATGGGTCAGTCCAGGGCAGCTCGGACTTTGAAGTCTGCAGTGGGCGTTGACCAGAGTGACCAGACAACGGCAGTGGGCTGAAGGAGCCCAGAAAGCAGCAACAAAAATTGCCATTCGTCAAACTGCCATTTCCTGCACCTTGTGCCTCCCTGTTGGCCTTGCAGGGCTACCTAGGGCCTTTAAATCCGGCCTGGCTTCGATGAAGGCGCTTGCCGGACCACACAGATCGAAGAGATCAGAAGCTGAATATCAACTTGGGTTTGAGCACCTTCTCCTCCGGGATTCTGTTCCTGACTTGCTCAACAGCTCGATGAGCCACCAGGCATGCGATCAGAGAAAGACGGCCGAGACGTCGTGGCAACGTGGTGTTGGCTGAACGCCAGGCTACAAAAGTGGGCAGAGTGCTGCGCCGACTGCCCCATCCATCCTCTCGTTCTTCGAAGAATCCTTCGGCTGTTAGGCCGTCCAAGCCCGGTCCGTTCTACGGTCGCGGCGAGGTCGCGTTTGGGGGCAGGAGCAGACGAGCTGCAAACCTACGGCGCTTAAATGCCGACGTGGATTCGAAGTTTGCTCAAGGATTCGTGGATGAACCACTGTGGGATGTTATCAGCGGCTACTGATGGAGACTAGGCGGTGGACTCGCAGCGGATTCTGCGCTGCACAGCCGACCAACGATTGGCAACCATCGCTCCAACTCGACACAAGGGGATCGACCTGCAGTCAAACTTTCCAGCTCCCCGCCCAATTGATGGCTTGGATCTCTCCCACCAAGCACGATGAGGGCGCATTTCAACGCGATCTTGTGGGGCTGTTCCAAATTTGGTGGGACTGTCTCCGTCGCCCGATCGCTGACCTTGCTAGAGCCCGCTGCAGCCATGTGGTTTCAACTGCACGACCTGCAGGCTGCAAATGTGCCTTGCAGCCCTGTTGGGGGCAGTTGCGATTACTGGGTCCACGACCACCGATTGAAAGGGAACCGCCCCCATCATCTTTCTGCCCATAATGAGTTGCATCGACGCATCGTGCATTCATTCGACTTTGGGCAGAGCTCAGTCTCGGACCTCCACCATCCCGGCGATGACATGGAACCCGAGATCAAGCAAGCCACACGACTCCTTGAAGCCCAACGGGCTGTCGACCGTGACGGACAGCCGCTCTCCTGGGTCCGCAACCGCCTGTCTTCCCAGGCCGGCACCGTATATACCGCCCGCGAAGTCAACAAAGTCCTCACTGAGGTTGTTGAGTCGGACGGCTCAGTTGGCGTCGTGAAGGCTCTTCTGGCCCTGGGCGCCGATGTGAACTTCGCCCGGCGGAGACACTCCAACACCTGGAACAAGATCACCCAGCGGAACTATCCCGGCGAAAGAAGCAATATTCTCCTCCGAGCCGTCATCCGCTGCCGCCCTGAGACGGTCTACGCGATTGCTGGTCACGCCGACCAAGCCAACCTCGACAGCGTGCTCCACCATGCCATAGCCAGGGGAAACTTGGCTGTTCTGGCCGCCTTGCTCGAGCACGGCGCAAGCCCTGTTCACCTCCACGACGACTTTCAAGAGGTTGTTTTTCACGACAACCTGGACCTTCTAAAGGTCCTCTTATCCGGCCACCACTTGCCCTGTCTGGCCTGTCGTTCCACCGGCCTTCGGATCGCCGTCGAGAACCGGTCGCTCGAGGCTGTGCGCCTGCTCCTTGACCACTGGGCCGATGTCAATTACGGCGACGCCATCGCGCTGACAAGAGCAGTCGAAATCTCACGCCCCGACCTCGTTGCTCTTCTCATCTCCGGGCCGGTTCAGCCATCATCACGCTCGCTCGATGCTGCGGTCGGCAAGCTTCGGCAATATTTGGGTGAAAATGACACAACCCTGAACCGCGAAATGCTTGAGCTGTGTCTGTCCGCAGGTGCGAGTGGACCTGAGACAATGCGTATGGTAACCGAGGGACTTGTCGAACTTGTGAGGCGACGACACACTCACCTCATTGGCATCATTCTGCGGCACAAAAAACCGCCCGGCCAGTACGAGGCTGCTGCCTTGATCGAGGCTGTTCGTGCCGAGCAGTTAGAGGTTGTCGCCAAACTTCTCGAGTTCTCACCATCCCCATCAAGCCTCGCTGTCGGCGTCTCGCAGGCCGTTGGCGCTGGCAGCCCACAGTTCCGATACGAAGCAACTCGCCTGCTGATTGCGTCTGGCGCACAGGGGCCCTGCGCTGCTGAGGCCCTGGTCAAGACTGTCCATTGCCTTGTGGCAAATCTGAGGCGCGGCGACAAGATGAGCATTGAGCGGGACATGAGGCTATTCTACCTCTTGCTGCACGAGGGGAAAGCCGATGTTAACTTCGACAGGGGAGAGGCCTTGCAAATAGCAGTCCGCTCAGCAGCTGTCGAAGTAGCCGAAGAGATCCTGGCCAAAGAACCATCCCCCGACTCGCTGGGCGCTGCCCTGACTTGGGCCATGAATGTCCGCGACGAAAAGAAGAAGCGGTTGCTGGTCGAGATGCTCGTTCGTCGCCAGATCAACGAAGACGCTGCCGGAAAGGCGCTGGTGGCGTTGCTGAAAACGGAGCCTGTAAATGCGTAAGTTACACAATGACCTCCCCTTCAAACTCTGATTGACAAGTATGAGCAGGAACATTGTCGAGCTGCTCCTCACTCGCGCTTCCGTGAATTACAACAATGGCGAGGTATTTATCTACGCCATCCGACATTTTCGACTGGAGATCTTCCACCTCCTTCTCGGCCAAGGGATCAGCCACAAATCCCTCTTCACCGCCATTTTAGAAGCTCTGAATGCTCCCACATCAGAACGGAAACTCGTGTTCAGTGACCTGCTAAGTCGGATGCAGCCCGATCACCTCAATACAGCCCTGAAGCACGTCGTGCTGGAAGAAGAGACGGATCTTGCCATGGTGAGGATGCTTCTCGACTCGGGCGCTGACGCCGGCCATGAGGATGGGTTTTGCATCAAGCACGCCGCCTCCGTTCTCAACAGAGACCTACTTCGCCTTTTGTCCGAGCACTTGGGCCCTCATGGCAGCATCTACAGCCAAGCCCTAGCCTCTATCGTCAGCCGCGGCAAACAGTGGATTGCCTTTGAGCATGTTGAAGCGGTAAACTTGCTCTTCCAACATGGCGCCTCAGGACCCATCGCTGGCAGAGCATTAGTGGAGGTCGTCGACCATCTTGCCTGTCAACAGTCTCGCGCTGGCCTCGCCGAGACTCTCCTGCGGAGCCTGTTTGCGGCCAACGTGGACGTCAACCACGAGAATGGCAAGGTCATCTGCATTGCTGCCAGCAGAGGCGATTCTTGGATTCTGTCACTGTTGCTGGCTCACGGCGCCACCTCTTCATCCGCCACCCTTGCACTTACAGCCGCTATCATGGCTCACCACAGCGAGTCGACACTGTTGCAGCTGATTGAGACTTTTGCAGATAAGCGGCATGCCACCCCAGACTTTGACAGGTCCATCCCGGGCTTGCCTCCGCCAATCTTTCAATGCCTGAAATCCTATGGGAAGTCGACGGCCGTCCTCAGCGGTTTGGTCAAAGCCGGGTGCAGATTGGAGACAACGATTCCGATGAACGTTTTCTCGCCGACCATGAAAGACAGAGAAGAGAGGGTGGTCAGTTCAGAGCTCGAACCAGCTTCAGTTCTCATGTGGGCCTTGCTCCAAGAGGAAGGAGTAGTAAGTTCAGCCGTTATGGAAGCGTTGGTTCGCCATGGCGGTAAGTCATTAGCAAGCCGAGGTCCGTGTGTTACGCCGCTGACAAACCCAGCCGACGTCTCGTACGCGTCTCCGAAATCACGCACCACGCCGCTCTTGATGGCAGTGAAATCGGGCCGAGTGGACGTCGCGCGCATGTTGATCGAGGCTGGGGCGAGGGTCTCTGCCAAAGATGTGTCGGGTCACTCGGCTCTCTTTTATGCCTCACGCGATGGGAACTCGGAGCTGGTAAAGCTCCTGTTGGAAAGCAAGCCCGTCGTCAACGATGGGAGCCTTCATGAAGCCTGCCGGGGCTTTCATGTGCAGGCAATGAAACTTCTTCTCCAAGCCGGCCATGATTGCAACTACCGGTCCATCAAGCATGGTGGGCGGACTGCCCTAGGAGAAATTGCTTTAAGGGCGGCTCCGCCAACTGACATCGCCGCTGCGGAAGAAGCTTTAGATCTTCTGGTCTCGGTGGACGCCAGCCCTCTCCTCAAGGTTCACGGGAAAACAATCATCTTTCTCGCCCTCGATAACGAACATAACGAATCCATCACCCGACTCCTGCTGGATAGGATGCTCTACCGAACCCTGAACAGTCACGAAAACACCTACCAGCAAGGCGTTCTCCACTACTCCCCCACCATGTACGTTGCGAAGGGTATCCTCCTCAGGGCTCCTTCTGAGACTCTGATACAACTCCTCCGCGCCCACGGCTGCGAAGACCGCTTCTACGCCACTATCGAAGAGGCGCAGCCCCCTGACGCAGTTGGTCTGCCCGAAGAAATCCGCGACTACGAGCGCGACCGTCGCGCTCGCCAACGGCAAAACCGTCTCATGGAGGAAGAACACGCCAACAAGATCCGCCGCGAGCGTGAGAAAGCCATCGCCATCGCCCAGCTCGAAGACGATAAGCACTACCGGATGATCCAACACCGCGAAGACGACTCCCAACAGCAGCGCCGGCACCGCGGACTAGACCACCACCAAACCATCCAAATGTCGGCCGAGAAACATCACAACGACGCTCAAATCAAGCTTAGCGCAGCCAATGTGTACTCCCAGGTCCGCTGGCAGAAACACACCGACGACTTAGCCATGATCTCCCAAAAGCGCGACGCCGACCTCTCCCACCGGAACCAAGCCTACCACCAGCACCTCGACCAGCGACGAGACAAGCTCGCCCTCGAGACCGAGGCGCGAGAACTCCGCCAGGCGCGCAGCTTGGCGCACATGCGCGAGGTGCAGCAGCAACGGTGGCAGGAGCGCTCGGAGAAGCACGCGCAGCAGCTGACGTACGAGAACCAGCGCATGATTCAGGAGTACGAGATGCTGTGGAAGAAGCAGCAGGTGAAGCGGGAGGGGCGCGAGGTCAAACTGGCGGGCTCGCGGGAGACGCACGAGATGAAGATGACCGAGCTGAGGACGCAGAGGGGGAATATTATTGGGCAGGTCAATCTGGAGGAGCTGAGGAGGTGGCAGGAGAGTGAGAGGAGGATGAAGATGGGGTTGGGGCAGGGACAAGGGAAGGTGGTGCAGGGGCGGTTATTGACGTGATCTTTCCCTCCCGTCTGAAGGCGTTCTGGGTGAGGGGTTGTATGGTCGGTGATGATCTCAACGGCCTGGCGTTCCTCGGGTCTTTGGGCGGTATAATAGGATGCTTCAGGGCCCGGGTCGTTTTATGAATGAGACTAGAATTGCATATGAATGATGATATCAGACTTCCAATTGTTACATTAAGCGACGAACAATAAGTTGGTAACTTGCTTCTTCAGACCTATTTCAACCCCAGAGGTTTGAAGTTGAGACACATCCACAATCACCTGACTGCCAACCACTCCGCTTCTCCTCAGCCCGTGGCAAGTTCGCCGTAGAATCTCCCATTACACCTTAGATTCACGAACTTCCACCTGAATCTCTCCGAGTCCACCAATCCCACCGAAACCTTGTGAATTGAGATACCCAGAAAATCATTAACCTACTGCATTCATAAACTTCTTTTCCAGCTACGCAGACAAACGATCCCAGTCACCCTGCCGAACTGCGGGCTCCGAGGTAAAAGCCTTGAACTCACTGTTTCTTGTTCAAGGCATAGATGAAGTTGGCTCCTATCGTCAGTTGTCAGAACCCAGCTCGCGTGCCAGACGCATCGAGAACAGCAAGGAACTACTGAATTGGCGGGTTTGGTATCGACTCACCGACCGGCGCAAGCCCATTCTCATCAGCCCACTCCCTCACCCCCTTGATCTCGCCCTTGTCGGTATCATACCCCCAGTGCTTCCGGTCCGACGGCTTCGAGAGGTGCAGCTTGTCCGTCGTCCCGTTGCTCGGGACGAACGCCAGGAACACATAACGATGCGGGCCCGTTTTCTTGGGAGGCGCGGGAGGCTTGTACGACATGATCTCGTTGAGGTCCGTCAGCATAGGGGGGCAGGGGACCGGCTGTTTGGGGTCGCAGAGCGCGGGTTTCAAGGTCCCCGACGCGATCCAGTGGCAAAACTCGGCCCACTTGGGCTTGTCGTGGGAGGGGGCGTCCGGGTCGGTCAGGGCGACGACATAGGTTACGTTGGCGGCGACGAGGTTGGATGGGGAGGACGCGGCGTGCATGTCATGGAGGGCGATGGACGGCTCATCTTGCAGCTTCTCGGGCTTGAGCGTGTTACCGAGGAGGGCGTGTTCCTTGGACGGCCAAGTGGCGTGGAGGCCTAGGGACGGTGAGAAATCATCGATGACTGTCGCGTTCAGTCTACCTTTATTTTCTCTCAAGCCAGCGTCTATCGAAGTTAGGTGAGGTTCGTACCATGCGGAATTATGCCAGCGCCTTTTAACCTGCTTGCGTGTCAGATATCGGGTACTGTACCAAGAGAAAGATAAGACATACTTCTCGCGAACTACTTCTGCAGCCTGTGGGAAGGGCTTGGGGTCGGGTTGCCCAGCCAAGACATGCTGCTGGGGTGGCTCTCGAGCATGGCCAACGACGAGCCAAGTGAGGACGACGTACAAAAGGATGAATTGGGCCATACCGGGCTGGTTGGACCGATGATATCCCAAAGGCTGCGAATTTTCAGAGTAGGGAGCGTGTTATAGGCTCATTTTTGTGGGTGAGTGAGCGCACCTCAATCTGATGATGTCATTAATCCTTGTCGGGTTTCCTAAACTACAGAAAGCTGATAGGGGGAGTCTAGAAACTAACCACTTTTGTCGTCTGTGCATCAATACAGCTACCTTAATGCGCAAACTAGAGCTATTATACATTAGCTAAGTTATAACTAATAAGTTAACTTATAACGTTAATTAACTAACGTGGTCCACCACCGAGCGGGACACCCCATCGACCGGGACACTTTTTCCTTCCCTATAATCACCCAACTTCAAGACGCGTTTTCTCTACCACAACAATGTCCGAGAGCTTCCCAGAAAACCGAGTTCTTCTCGCGATCAATGCGATTCGATCAACACCGAGGTTGAGTATCCGACGCGCTGCAGAGATATACAACATCCCCAAGTCGACAATTGCTGCGAGATTGAAGGGCCGGGCTGCAAAGTCCGACAGCTGCAACGGCCGTTCGAATTTGACGAAGATCGAAGAGGAGGTGATTATCCAGTATATACTCGACCTAGATTCGCGAGGGTTTTCGCCCCGGATTGTCGACGTTGGTGATATCGCCAATCTTCTGCTTCGGAAACGCGGTGCGCGACACGTCGGAAAGAACTGGCCAGACCGCTTCGTTGCACGACGTCCAGAGCTAAAGACCGCGTTTCAATCGCGTCTATGACTATCAGAGAGGCCTCTGCGAAGACCCTGCAATTATCGAGCCATGGTTCCGACTGGTTGCCAACATGCGAGCGAAATACGGCATCCTCGATTGCGACTTCTACAACTTCGACGAGACCGGCTTTATGATGGGCATGATACGGCCTGGGATGGTGGTTACACGCTCCGATCGGGTCGGCAAACCAAAGGCCATTCAGCCAGGCAATCGAGAATGGGCAACAGCGATTTGCAGTATCGCTGGCGACGGCTATGTGGTGCCGCCTTTCTTGGTGGTGAAGGGCCGTTTCCACCTCGCCAGCTGGTACTCTGAGCACCAGATTCCC